ATAGATTTTTGAGCCCTTAAAAGCTGACCAGAAAAGGCAAATTAAAGGGTGAGAGGTGAAAAGACACAAAAATGTGGATATCTTTTGAAGAGGCAATGAAAGCACCATAGATTTAAAGCTGAGTGGACAAGCCATATATCACTCTATGCCAAGAAAATCTTGTCTATGACCACACACCATTTTTCCTGACAACTTAAAACTTAGCAATACTTGCATTGTTAGCAGGCTGACAAGTGATATGTTCAGAGTCAGGTTTTTTGAAGCCTGATCTACCATAATTTATACTTCTTTTCAAGCTGCAATTCAGGTCATGCTGTTCTCCCCAAGATAATAAACAGGAAGAACATTTAGGGCCAGTCTTCAATTCACTTTGCCTTTCACCTTGCAAACAGAGCCTTCGAACAAACATCTTTATGATGCCCCATTAAGATGATCCTTTCAGAAAATTCTACTGTTCTTGGTAATTTCAAATGGTACAGCATGAAACAGCTCATCAGACATACACACTCACCTAGCAGTGTATGGTTCAAGCCACAACTAGCTGATGCAAGCCTTTGTTCCAACCTTAATTCTGAGAATTTGAATTTTACCAAGAAAAGCTATTTGAAGGCAAGAGGCTTTTTCATGCCCTCATGACTGCACAGGAAGATGTAGGGCAGTGGCTTACATTCTGTAAGAAGATCTCTAAGTCTCTCCTTTCACCAGGAGCACTACTTAAACTATTCAAGCGTTCAGAAGGTATAAGATATTGTTTAAGCAAAATGTTTCCTTTCATCTTTAAGGAAGACCTGAGGGATCTGTTGTCAATACAATAATAAGGACAGCTGAGCTATTTAATATTTAATGCATATGGTGCAGAAATACCTGGTTGATGTCACTGACTGGTGCTCCCTTTCCAAATCACGTAGTTGTTGCTGATTGCGGCATCCCAGCTGGCCACTACCACCCTCATGCCCATCACGAGACAACTGCACTCACATTCTATTGGCCAATCCCAATCACATGACCCCAAACATCTAGGTGGATTGGTTCCAGCCAGTGGGATATGATGGGAAGTTATGCATGTCCCCTCCAAGCTGTGTGTACCTTCTCCATAGCACCCTCTCCTTCTGCAGCAACCCTCAAATCACCTGTTGAAGATGTCTGCATCATAGGATGGAAGGATTCAGAATCCCTGAGTCAGTAGTCAGAGAAGAGTTGCTTAATCAAGAAGGAAGGCCTATACTGAACGTTGTATGAGAGAGAACACAAGATTGTGATAAGATACTCTGTTTGGGGAGATTCTGTTAGAGCAGTTAATCTATCCTGACCAGATGCGAGACACTGAACAAATATAGATGTAATCTTTCTTGGGTTCCATGATCATCTGGGAAAATGAAAGAGGAACACAGGAAGAAAACAGTACAGTGACAGAGGCAGCAAAACCCAAGAGGGGGAGGAATGAGATCATTTCCTGTGTCAGCCCCTCTGAAGTATTTGCTCTTAAAAAATCAGCTCATTGGTCTAAAATGATGTGGACTAAGATAGGCAACTTAAATATTCACACAATTATCATTTTTTAAAAAGTAAGCAGAAAAGATCACAAATAATCTCTGCCATACTGAAAAATGCAAGCGAGCAGTGATAAGATGGCTAGGCAGCATTTTAGTATGGTATAATATTTTATCCGGGAGACACCTGGTAAAAAGGATTGAGATGGAGAAACCGAGAGAAACATTCAAGGAGAAAGGATAAGGCAGGAAAAAACAGAAAACTTCAGATTCAAAGAGAAAGAGTCAGAGGAGTTAAAAATAGTTTTCAAACAGGAATTGAAGTTTATGGACAGAGTTAGAGATGGTGAAGAAAAATCCTTTGAAGACCTAAGAAGTATATTTATTCATTTATTAGTTTAATTCCACAAACATCTGCTGAGTAACTACTATGTGCTGAGTCCTGTGATAGGCACCACAGATAGAACCACAAACTCACAGTCCTGGAGCTCATAGCCTTGCACAGAAAAAAAAGGATCCCGATGGTTTTCCCAATGCCAACCATTAGCTTTCTTTCACTCAAAAATGTAGTCAACCGATTCATGTTGATGTATGGCAAAAACCATCACAATATTGTAAAGTAATTATCCTCCAATTAAAATTAATTAATTAATTTTTAAAAAAGTAGTCAAGACCAGTGGGAGAAAGAGCATTGCTCCCTCCCACTCTAACACCATCTTCCTGAATTCTATTTTAGCATCTGAAAGGGGAAAACTGGCTGAAGAAAGAGGAAATTCTAAGTCTTTAACAGACCATGACAAAAACAGAGCTAAATCATCATTTCTAAGAAAACGTAATTGCTTTTTATTACCACACACTGAATAGCTTTCCCAATTGTCCCCTGTATCTCTGTATCAGCGCTGGTCGCATGTACAATTCTTGACAATAGACAATACTATTGAACAAATTAGTCTCCTATGAGCAAAATAACACTTTCATAACAATGGGCAGTTCATGCCTACTTTCTCTAGACTTTTGCCAAACAGAATACTAGTGCAGGCTAATTATATGAGCTGGCTGAAAATTGTGCAGACCATGGAAAGGTATCCCCCTAAACAACAACTGAGAAAAAGTCTTAACATCAAATCCAAAACAATAGGAAAAAAGTGAGACAGCAAACTATGCCCAGGCAATCTCATCAGCATACTGCAATTAACCATATTTGCTGATGCCCATTAAAGAGTTGTAAAATTCTTTGCAGTGGGGTCTTCCCTGGTGGTCCAGTGGTTAACACTCCGCCTTCTAATGCAGGAAGCATGGGTTCCAGCCCTGGTCAGGGAACTAAAGTCTCATATGCTGTGGGGTGTGGCCAAAAAAAATTTTTTTTTTTTAATTCTCTGCATTGAAAACAAATCACCTTCCATGATTAAATAACACTCTGCCATGTTGACGCAAGTACTTTGCTGCAAAGTACAGCAATGGATCATCGTTACATTGAGCACTTTTGTCACTTTGGGGAACAAAAATATTGAATAGCTCATCAGAGAGAGAGTTGAAGACAGTCCACTGTAACTTTTACACACCGATTCCCACATCAGGCAAGGAATACAGACAGTTTGTCACAGGGAATGGGGGAGTAAGGACCAATTTTTCCAAGTTCTACTATTCATAAGGTGTGGCACCACAGATCTGATGCATGGAGGGTGCTGTAAGAGGTTTGGAATTTGAGTCCCTCAAGAAAAGTCTGAGGAAGAGCCCAACAGACAAGGAAAACAATGGCTCCAACATGGTCAAAACAGATGTGCAGCACCATCTACAATGCATCAGCTACTTTACATCCACCTCAAAATTCATTGTACTTATTGTGCAAGAAAAAACGCATTTGCATGGGACTTCCTTGCTGGTCCAGTGGCTAGCAGGGAAGACTCACTTCCAATGTAGTGTGCACCTGGGTTTGATTTCTGGTCAGGGAACTAGATCCCACATGCCACAACTAACGCCCACCATAGCCAAATAAATAAATAAATGAATAAAAATAAGTATTAAAAAATTAAGAAAAGAAGCATTTACAAGTATTCAGTTCAGTTCAGTTCAGTTCAGTCTCATCTGACTCTTTGCAACCCCATGAATCGCAGCACGCCAGGCCTCCCTGTCCATCACCAACTCCCGGAGTTTACTCAAACTCAAGTCCACCGAGTCGGTGACACCATCCAGCCATCTCATCCTCTGTCGTCCACTTCTCCTCCTGCCCCCAATCCCTCCCAGCATCAGGGTCTTTTCCAATGAGTCAACTCTTCGCATGAGGTGGCCAAAGTACTGGAGTTCAGCTTCAGCATCAGTCCTTCCAATGAACACCCAGGACTGAATCTCCTTTAGGATGGACTGGCTGGATCTCCTTGAAGTCCAAGGGACCCTCAAGAGTCTTCTGCAACACCACAGTTCAAAAGCATCAATTTTTCGGCACTCAGCTTTCTTCACAATCNTGAGTTTTCTAAAACCAGCTTGAACATCTGGAAGTTCATGGTTCACATGTTGCTGAAGCCTGGCTTGGAGAATTTTGAGCATTACTTCACTAGCGTGTGAGATGAGTGCAATTGTGCGGTAGTTTGAGCATTCTTTGGGATTGCCTTTCTTTGGGACTGGAATGAAAACTGACCTTTTTCAGTCCTGTGGCCACTGTTGAGTTCTCCAAATTTGCTGGCATATTGAGTGCAGCACTTTCACAGTATCATCTTTCAGGATTTGAAACAGCTCAACTGGAATTTCATCACTTCCACTAGCTTTGTTCATAGTGATGCTTTCTAAGGCCCACTTGACTTCACATTCCAGGATGTCTGGCTCTAGGTGAGTGACCACACCATCGTGATTATCTTGGTTGTGAAGATCTTTTTTGTACAGTTCTTCTGTGTATTCTTGCCACCTCTTCTTAATATCTTCTGCTTCTGTTAGGTCCATACCATTTCTGTCCTTTATCGAACCCATCTTTCTGACCAATCTATCATAAGCAAGGGTCCTGGCAAAAACAGTGGCCAGCTCAAACTGAGTCATATAAGAAAAACTGAAAGAAGGCACTTTTCCCAAAGGCCTGGGCTGGATGCAGAAAAATTCAAGCATGGTATCAGGGGACTATGAAGAGCTTGGGCCTTCCCTGGTGGCTCAGTGGTTAAGAACCTCCCTACCAATGCATGAGACACGGACTTGATCCCTGATCCAGGAAGATCCCACATGCCATGGAGCAACTAAGCCCGCACGCCACAACTACTGAACCCGTGCTCTAGAGCCTGAGAACCACAGCTACTGAAGCCCACATGCCCTAAAGCCTGTGCTCCACAACCAGAGAAGCCACCTCAATGAGAAGCCCAAATACCACAACTAGAGAAAAGCCCTTGCAGCAATGAAGACCCAGCACAGCCAAAAATTAATTAATTAAAAAATTTTCAAGAGGCTAATTTTTTTAAAAGATGCTGTGAAACATTTTTGACACAAAACACTTATTTGAAAATCAAATTAAATGTGAAGAGTAGAACTTACTTTTTTGTTCTGTTAGATAAAGTCTCCAGGCCCGCTTGCAGATTTTGGCATCGCTCCATCAGGTGGAGGGACTTCTCATTCAGATATGTGCTGTTTCATGAAAGAGATTTAAAAAAAACAGATTTATTTAAAAGGAGAATTTATGAGATACAGTTAACAAAAATCAGATTTATTGATAAAGTGTACCCAAATGAAGTCTAATTTTCATCCCATTATTGGATTTCTCCATGGAAAAGGAAATTGATATTTTCACCTCTGACGATGGGTCTAAATTTTTTAATACACTGACATGATAAAGTCAAATAGAAAGGAACTCTCCTTGGAAGACTATATTTTCAAGTTTTCATATTTTGAGGTTAGTATGTAACTGAACAGGTTATTGAATAGTTTTAATCATTGTGAGTGTAAACAGACACTATTTTTAAAAAGATGTTGTCTCTGGTAGGAAGCATGCAGACACAGAAGATCAATAATTCTCTCTCAAAAGAAGGCAAGATAAATCTGGTCTTTAATTATTACAGTAGCTGTGATATAAGGGCCTGTTGTTATTGTTGTATGAGCTTCGAAAAACTGGAGCTGGAAACAAACCAAATCAAAAAAGCAAGTTAAGGAAACAGGTTATGGAGCCGGGCTGCCTAATAAGCCCTGCAGATACATGTGTGCTACTAGTTAGCCGACTCAGGCCTCAGTTCCTGCATCTCTAGTCCCTACCTTATAGTGTTATTGTCATGATATATACATGATAGAGGAAACAATGAAAAGCGACTGGGGGGGCTTCCCTGGTGGTTCAGTGGCTAAGACTCCAGGCTTCCAATGCAGCGGGGCTGGGTTCCATTCCTGGTCAGGGAACTGGATCCCATATATCTCAACTCAAGATGTTCAGTCATGTCTCATTCTTCTTGACTGCGTGGACTGTAGCCCACCAGGCTCCTCTGTTCATGTGATTCTCCAGGCAAGAATACTGGAGTGGGTTGCCATTCCCTTCTCCAGGGGATCCTCAAATCCAGGGATAGAACCTGGGTCTTCTGCACTGCAGGCAAATTCTTTACCATCTGAGCCACCAGAAAAGCCCTATTACTAAGACACAGTGAAGCCAAATAAATAAATAATTTTTTAAAAAAAGGAAAGAAAAGCACTTTATACCATACCTACCATAGTAAGAGCTCAAAAAAAAAAATCAACCATCACTCTCCCTATGTGTCAAAAATATGCACAAAACTCCGATTTCTTGTTAATGCATCTATGTAATCATCCTAAAGATATTTGCTGAGAATCTAATATGAGTTAGGAACCAGCCATAGGAGGCTTAGGATACGGAGCTGGAAAACACAGAACCCAGTCCCTTTCCCTACTGGAGCTTCCTGTCTGGTTAAGGAGAACAACATGTATCAAACAAAACCACACGAACGAATAGAAAATTCTGGTCTGTGGACAGGACCCGGAAAACAGCAGTGGATGCGATGGAGAAGTGTAACCAGAGCTGCCTGAATTGTGTGGGGGCCTCTGAGAAAGTATCATTTGGGTGGAGATCCCCAGGGTAACCCAAGGGTGCTACTTTGCTGGGGAACATTCCAGATTGAAGGGAAAACATGTGCAAAGGCTGCAGAATGTTTGAGGAACTGAAAGGAGGCAAGTGAAGCTCAAGACTGAAAGGTTTAAGGGTGTCTGGAGCAGGAAGCAGGACCCATGACACACAGGCCTGGTGAAACCTAGGATTAGAAGGAACCCTAATAACATGGACAGCAAGACAAGGTTAGGGGCAGGGGAAAGATGGATATATATACAGCCTCATGTAAGAGGTTTTAAGAAATTGTCTCAGAGATGAAACAAGAGGAGGCAGGACCACAGAAAAGATGAGAGTCAGGAGGCTTCTGTGGGGCTCTAGGAGAGAGATGATAGCCCCTGGCTTTGCCAGACAGGATGGAACAGATTATGATGTGACCACAGAGGTTGCCCATTGGCAGGTGCTTTCCAACACAAAAGTCTGTTTCTTTTGTTTGTTTTGTTTGCACATACCAGTATTTATGTAACCTTTACCGTGTATTTTAATGGGGATAATGGCTTTACGATGTTGTGTTAGCTTCTGCTTACAACACGTGAATCAGCTCTGTGTATACAGATACCCCCTCCCTCTTGAGTCTCCCACAGGCCCCATCCCACCCCTCGAGGTCATCACAGAGCACCGAGCTGGGCTCCTCGTGCTACACAGCAGCTTCCCACTAGCTATTTTACACACTATAGTGTATATATGTTAATGCTACTCTCTCCATTTGCCCCACCCTCTCCTTCCCCTGCTATGTACACAAGTCCATTCTCTTCATCTGCATCTCTATTCCTGCCCTGCAAATCGGTTCCTCAGTACTATTCTTCTAGATTCCATATATATGCGTTAATATATGATATTTGTTTTTCTCTTGCTGACGTCTCTTGCTCACGAAATGGCCACTAGACACTGGGTGGCTTTCTAGGGCAGCCGTGCTCCACGTGATCTAGAAATACCACATACTCCACTCGCAGGGCACTTTCAACAACCTGCCTCCATAACTGTTGTGGCAGAAGGAGAAAGTGCTGGAAGGTCTTACTCTGTATCTGAATGCTTCAGCCTGGCCAGAACTAGCTGTCTGCCCGACCTGATTTCACAGCAGTTTTCAGAAAAGGGCAACCATCCTCCATGCCTGGAAGAAGAGATCATCAGGGTGCAGGAGTGGACCAGAGGCCCACAGCCACCATCCATGGGCGGTAAGAGAAGCTGACAGGTTTGAGATCTATTCTGGACATAAAACTGACAGGACTTCATAATAAACTGGATGTGGGAGGTGAGGGAGCAGGCGGTATCAAGGTAAAGATATAAACAAGAGAGAGTCATAATTAATCTTCCAGAAATTTTGTCTAAAAAGACAGTGTACAAGTATCTTATGGGCTCACAAAACTCCTCTTTATCTTGATAAGGTTTTCTTCCCACTTCCTTCCTCTTTCTGTCTACATGCCTCACCTTCTGCACTTTCTGAATGTATTATCATACTTTCCAAAGAATTGTTTATTTCTAACTTGCTGTGTATTTTATTCAGGCAGCACCGTTAATGAAGTGAATTACTGAGCCAGCAGTGCTTTGAATAATGATGGCTTTGCAAGACTGAATCATGAAACAGAGAAGCAGGCATCATTATGGTTGAGTGTTTCATAGAACTTCTCTTAAATCAGTGAGTATCTTTGTTAATAAAAAGTCCAAACAGCTTTGCCCAACTGAAATCACAGAAGGCACACGGAAAGCAAATGAAGGTATCTGGGTTGAAGTGGAGATGCAAGAGTAAAGTCAGAGGGGAAAGGGGGATCTTAGGTGTCAGCCAGTAGGGCCAGCCTTGAATCTGGGTTCCACTCTCTGACCTTGGCCTTTGAAATACAAGAGTTTCCTTGTTCATATCTTTACTCAGTAGTTTATAGGGATGCTACAGATTGAATGTTTGTGTCTCCCTCAAAATTCATAGGTTGAAATACCAGCCCCCAAGGTGATGACATTAGGAGGTGGGGCTTTGGGAGGTCATGAGGTCATGGGGGTCCTCATGAATGGGATTAGTGCCCTGATAAAATTGGCCCAAGAGGGCTTCCTGGTCCCCTTCTGCCTTGTGAGGTGACAGCGAGAGGATGGCTGTCTATGAGGAAGTGGGCTCTCTAGACACCAGATCTGCAGGTGCTATGATTTTGGACTTCCAGCCTCTAGAAGCATGAAAAATAAATTTCTGGTATTTATAAGCTGTCCAGTCCATTCAGGTAGATGAAGGCAAGGGATTACATGGGGTGTGCATAGAAACAGCTGACATATGAAAGTCACTAAATAAACACTGCATTCCTGTTCTCCTACATGCCTTGCTGTGTTGTGCTGGTAACCTCTCCTACACAGAAGTCACTTCACAGCTGAAGAAACAGAAAGGAAGCCCCGTGAGTTCTCTGCACTCTCTTTCTGTCCTGCCCGCTTTTCATTCAAAGTTTTCTTCCTTTGAATTCCTAGTTTTTCTTCCTTTCATTCCTACTTTTCTTCCTTTTCATCTAATGTCATTAAAACCTTCCTAGGAACGTGTTAAAATGCTGATCTGCAGAACCCTTAAATTTCAAACGTTTGTCTACTTTAGGCATCTGATCAGTATAACCCCTTTCAATGATTCTTAGTCAAGACTCCTAGCTCATGCTGTTTTCAACAATGATTGTTATTCAAAGTGACAGAAATATAACCACCACATTTTAAGATGCTTGAAGACCTGACTCCATAAGAGATGCCAGGATCCATAGAGAAGTGGAAGGCAACAGGCCTTCCAGAGAGAGGGCTAGACCATCAGTCCTCTGTTGTGGGAATAAGTGAGAATTAGATGTTCAAGGTTCCCTGGTGGCTCAGTCAGTAAAGAGACTGCCTGCAATGCAGGAGACCTGGGTTCGATCCCTGGGTCAGGAGGATAGCCTGGAGAAGAAAATGGCAACCCACACCAGTATTCTTGCTTGGAGAATCCCATGGGCAGAGGTGCCTGGCTGGCTATGGTCCTTGGGGTTGCAGAGTCAGACACAACTTAGTGACTAAACTACCACCACGTGTTCCTAGGATCTGAGCCCATGAGAAGAACTGTGAGGGACTTACTTGCTCTTGAGAGAGGAAAAGAAGAAACCTTCCCAGTCTGAGTTGAGCAAGGTCATGACCCGTGGACAGAGCCTATTTGAGAAGTTGGCACCCACCCAAATGAGGTTATTAGAAAAAAATGCTCCTTAACTTCTGATCTGGGGACATCTCTTAGACAAGGCAAAGGGGACAGAGAGAAATTCAATGAGATAAAAGCAGGAATTAAAGATTGTGGGATCACAAGCAATGTGGCAGAAGATGAAATGGCTCCAAGACACGTGTGAGCTGACTTGTAACCTGAGGAAGGATGCCTGGGCATCAGGTTGGAATGATCCATCTGAAAGGACTGAATGTCAGGGAGAACTTGAAATGATAGAGGAAGCAACAGAGAAAGCACATCAGAGGCTGCTGCCAGAAGAGCTCACAGTTAGGTAGAAGTCTGGGATGTGACCAGAAAGGGACGCTGACCCCGAACTAACTCAAGATGATGGTCTGAGCAGTTGCGTCTAGGAAAGAAAAGCACACAGAGCAGCAAGGCCACCAGATAAACTGTAAGAGCCAAAACTTCCAGGGCCAGACTCTCATGAGTTCAAAACAGGAATTTTGTCTCTGCCAACTCTGATAGTTAGTTTTCTTTTTTTAATTTCAATTTGCTGGTGAAAGCTCCTTTTAAGAACTTTTTTTATTATGTGTTATTCTATTTTTTATTGGCATATAGTTGCTTTACAATGTTTTGTTAGTACATATAGCTGTGTATCAGATATATGGACACATATATTCCCTCCCTCTTGCACCTCTCTCTCACCCCATACCACCATAGATCTAGGCCATCACAGAGCACATAGCTGAGCTCTCTGTGCTATGCAGCAGCTTCCCACTACCTATTTTCATATGGCAGTGCACAGACATCAATCCCAATCTCCCAATTCATCCCATTCCCCCTTCCCCTACCCTTCTCCCCATATCAGTTCTCTACAAAAGAGAAAAGAATTGGCTTATATACAATCTGCCAGATACAGTGGAGAGCGTCTCCCAGGACAAATCATGGAGGGACAGTGGCCATCCTCCTGGAGATCTGCTAGAACACCTGATGAACCAAGTGAGTGTTGAAGTCTCCCAGACTAGAGGGCTGAGATGGCTCTAGCTGCCCTGCCAAAGCCTCATCAAATGCTCCATTATAAGACCACAATCTCTGCCTGCACGTCACTAAACAAGATTGCTATCTGCTCATTTGTAACATGAGTAGCATCTGGCAACAAGCCAGCATGCCCAAGTTCCTGCCCCTTCAACATTTGTGGCATCCACCTTGCAAATATGCCATAATGCAGCAATGCAGCCTCTGGCCTAATGCATTCCTATACCTGCCCTGCTAAAACTGCTGGGAACAAAATCACATGGGTAGGTGGACTGGTGCCCTGATAAATCTATGGTGCCCAATACGCTAGGTCTTTGGTGCCTTGACATTTCTATTCCAAGGGGCCACCTCCCTTCCTCTTCCATTTCCCTAGATGGCTAACCTACACATTCACTATTGTGCTAACTTCACTACTCTGTGCTTTCCTAAATTCTATAATCATGTTTTCTATTTCAGGAAAAAAGATGCTGCCTGGTTAAGACTCGATGGTTAGCTATAAGCCATTACTTTCCATCTCAGAGGAAGAAGTATCTCTCCTCTTACAAAAGCAGAATCTGCCTGCTATTCCATCCCTCCCAGTCTCCTCAATGATCCAAGCTCCTCCCTTCATTTTCTTCTTTTCTAAACCTTTGCCCTTTCCCTTCTACTGTTGCCTCCTCCCCAGGTTCAATTCTCTCCCTTCTCAAAGTCAAAAACAAAATAACTCATTCTGCTCTTCTCCTCCACCTGCTGCCTTGCTGCTCTTTCAGATTTCAACCCACCAATTGTTTCTCTGATTTTCCTACAAATCCATTCAACCATTCTTGGAAAGCATCACCAAATCCCGGGGAGATCTGAGGTCTCTTACTTGACCTCCCAGTAGCATCTGAATGGCTGGCCACTCACTGGGCACCTGGTTCCCATCACAGTCCTCTCTGCTTGTCCTTTGACCTCTGACCGCCAATCAGGATTCTCTGGTAGGCTCTTCCTTGGATCAGCCCATAGGCGCTGGTGTCTCCCATGGCTCTTCCTTTCCTGCTTGTTATTTTAATACAACTAGTTGGCACCTAGTTACAGAACCCCCAGGGCTCTCTCCAGATCACCTGTCTTCTCAGCCTGCCTGTTTTCTCCAAATATCTCAACCAACCTCTTTCCCTTCTTCTCTGTCCTCATGGCCCCCAAGGTGGGTGGTCGCGCACTCACATCTAAACATGTCACTTCCCTGCCCAAACCTCTGTCAGGGACCCATCAGCCTCTGGACATGCCCCGTAGCTGGACACACAGGGCCATCCAGGACTTGGTCCTTGACTGTGATTCCAGTCTCATCTCTTCCCGGCAGCTTGCTAAGCATTGAAAGTGAAAGTGAAGTCACTCAGTCGTGTCTGACTCTTTGTGACCCCATGAACGGTAGCCTACCAGGCTCCTCTGTCCATAGCATTTTCCAGGCAAGGGTACTAGAGTGGGTTGCCATTTCCTTTTCCAGGAGATCTTCCCAACCCAGAGATCGAACCCAGGTCTCCCGCATTGTAGGCAGACGCTTTACCATCTGAGCCACCAGGGAAGAGCTGCTAGCATTAACTGGTACAAATTTCTCTTTCTCCATTCCTTGCAAGTCTTATATTATGGATTCTGACTGCTTTTATTATTTAATTAGAGTATTTATTTGTTTGGTACTGGCAACCTAGCCTTCAGGCACATTTTCATCATTTCAGTATGTCATGGAGAAAAAAAATCTTTAATAAGATTAAAGGAGAGATACACAAAAATAAGCATTTCTGCTATCATTGTTATCGATGTGGCTGATCTGCTTTTTACAAATTCTATCTTCATAAGTCAGACTTGAAAACCAACTGGCAAGATTTCACAAAATAGCAGCAAGAAGCTTAGAGACTACAATGGCTCCTGAAACTAATAAAAATTAAGGCTCTGATAAGGCAAAAACTATGTCTTAACTGAACAAGTGATTCAATCCCTATAAAGTAATGTCACCATTATTTAGTGGGTATCCACAAGGACCTGTAAAACACAGAGTTAATGACTTTTAATTAATGCAATATGCAGTCAGTCCCCGGGACAAATGAAACATCCCAAAGAATGATTTATTTATGTCACTAATGAGTTTCAAGAACCTTCAAATTCTGGGGACTTCCCTGGTGGTCCGTGGTTAAGATTCTGCATTCCCAATGCAGGGGGGACCTGGTTTGATTCCTTTTCAAGGAACTAGATCCCACATGCCCCAACTCAAGAGTGCACAGGCTGAAACTAAAAGATCCCTCATGCTCAAACTAAGACCTGGCACAACCAAATAAATAAATATTAAAAAGGAAAAAAAAGAATCCGAATTCTATTTACAGTGCCCAGAAATGGGGCTAAACTGATTGTGAATCTATGAAAAGGTTAAAACCAAATCAATTTTAGTCTCTCTGAAGAAAGAATATCTTAACAGATTAAAAATACAGCCTTAAAACTGGAAAGCCCAAAGCACAGGAATTCTCCGATCTACAGATCTTGCATGCTCCCTCCCTGTTCCTACGAAGATGAGCTGATGAGCCATAAGTGCATCCTGACCACCAGCTGACATCCCTCTGTAGACCGGTGTGACAGCTGGCCTGCCAGCTCTAGGACAGAGGGGACAGTGGCCAACTGCGCTCACTTCAAGTTCATCAAGCAAACACCTAATTATCATGTGCACCCCTGCCATGTAATTCTCCTGAGGGACAAAGGCAAACATTCCAGTCTAATGGGAGAGTTTGATTGCTCTCTTTAATTGACAAATTAATATTCTGCTTTATAAATCACCCTCTTACAAGTTTGGTGAACACAAGTCTGTCTTTGAAATAGCAATCAAATCCAAAAACTGAAAAAATCAAGTTTTGGTGCCTATAGACATAGCGGCAGAACCTGGCCAGCCTCTGTTCAGTCACTCACCAGGTGTCTCTGCCACAGGGAACAGTGGCTACAGGAGAAAGTACAGTGGACAAGACCATCTGCCTGCTTCTCTGGAGCAAAGAGTCTGGTGAGGAAGACAGACAGGCAAGCACATGCTTACCATGCTGGGTTTGCAGAATGGATGCTGGCTATTTTCCACCATCATGTTAGTTTCAAGAAACCTTGAATCTGTATTTTGATGGATGTCATTTAATTCAAAATATAAGAATTGCTTAAAACAATGACTATTTCCTTACACAGAAACAGTGCAGCCACCTTCACTTGCAGAAATTTCTGCAAATAATCTCTGTTAACTTGGTTTTTCACAATAATTTTTACCTGTTTTTGGTAACCTTTGATAAAGATTTATTAATTAGCTCTGTTACTAAATCTGTTACTCTAATGTAGTCTGGCCCTCCACCATTGTTGAAAGGTAGTTTTCAGAGACGGACAATCACAAATCTATATATATATATATAATGAATACACATTACAGATGTTATTTTATTTCTCATGAAGGAACAGGTTCAAAGGAGAAGCCACAGACAGACTTACAGATCAGGAATATTGAAATGAATGTGCAAACAGAGGGAAGTCCGTTGGACCTCTACCAGATTGGACACAATTTGCGTATTTATAGATAAGAATTGTCTTGTGTTGCTCTGAATTAACTGAATCTTAACAGTTGTAAAACTGTTTCCAGGAGGATTAGCATCAGATAACTCAAGAGATGTGTGATGTGAACAACACCAGCATATTCACTGAGGCACACAATGTCCCATAAACCACTAACAGCACCACTGCCCACCACTATAACATTAAAGGACGGATTGAGAGTAATGAACCTAAAAGACTTTCACTCCTTCTGAACTGCACTCTCCCCCTACTCATGCCACAGCTTGCCTGAGGGGAACAGGTTGACCCAGTTTAGGTGTTAAGTCCTCCAAGACACACAGGGAGCACTGCCTTACCTATGCAGGTTGAAGCGAGAGTAACCGAGAGGACAAATCTGAAATGGAGACTCATTAAAATTTCAAATTTAGATGAGTAAGAAGAGGGTCAAAGTAGAGGTGAAATAAAATAGGAGTAGATTGGGAATAAATGGAAGAAAACAAGTGACTACTACTGGATCATTACATGTCTCCTTTCACTGGTCCCTAACTGTGAGATCCTTGGGGGCTTGAAATCAACTCAAGAATGCAGAGTCAAGGTGGAAAGGCTCTCAGGGAAGCGCTTCTTCTAAGTCTTCCAAAACCCACCTCCAACAGAATTTTCTTCCTTGATCTAACCAAAATTATTCTGACCTCTCTTTAATCTGCTTTGGATTTGAAAACCTTGGACAAACTGAGCATTTTATTTTTAATGAAAGGCATTTTAATGTCCTATGTTGTTTGTTATTAAAGACTGGATTTTTTAACACTAATTCCCTTTCTTTGAAAATATTGTATGGTTGTTACTTGTTTTATCTCCAATGATAATAACTGATATGAAATTTTACCTTCTAGACCAATGTATATCTCTGATCTGTGGATAACTTCTTTCAATATGCCAGCAAATATGGAAAACTCAGAAGTGGCCACAGGACTGGAAAAGTTCAATTTGCATTTCAATCCCAAAAAAGGGCAATGCCAAAGAATGTTCAAATGACTGTACAACTGTGCTCATTTCATGATAGCAGGGTAATGTTCAAAATCCTTTAAGCCAGGCTTCAACAGTATGTGAACTGAGAACTTCCAGGTGTACAAGTTGGATTTCAAAAAGGCACAGGAATCAGAGATAAAACTGCCAACATCCATTGGGTCATAGAAAAAGCAAGGGAATTCCACAAAAACGTCTACTCTTGCTTCACTGACTATGCTAAAGCCTTTAACTGTATGGATCACAACAAACTGTGGAAAATTATTAAAGAGATGGGAGTATCAGACCACCTCACCTGCATCCTGAGGAACCTGTATGCGGGTCAAGAAGCAACACTTAGTGCCGGGAGCCAGCACACGAGATCCCACCCATGACAAGGTTGTGAGAAGACCTGACAAGCAAGGCAGATCAGGACTTCAGGGATTTTGAAAAGCTGCCCCAGCGCTCACCTTAAAGATGATCTCTGTCTTTCTGATCCTCGCTGTATTAGACTACTCCCTAATTTCTGTGACACGGGTAGAAGGCCTTCCCCGATCTCTCTCCAAACAGAATCAACTTAGAACTTTAATCAATATGTCCCCCGGACGGCGGTATCCTATAAGATCATCCAGGATGAAAGGAGTGTTTCAGTTTAGACCCCTTTGCTGGCATTCTAGCCTACTTGGCAAATGCGTACTAATGCACATGACTGCTCACAACACCTTAATCATAAACAGCATAAAGAACCTGATCACACAAAGGGCCCTAATAGGCACAGAGCCCTTCGGGGGTGAGGAAGCCCTATTAGAGAACACAAAAATATTATTCTAAAAGTGGTTATAGTTAAAGATTTAGAAAAATAAGAGTTCAGAATTGTTAATTTTAACCAGGAAGGCTAAACAAGGGCTGCCTCACCGGAGCTGCAGAGTCATTGTGTTGTAAACCTTTTAGATAAATTTAACTGATAACTTCTGCAAGAGGGCTGACCTTTGTGTTCATTAAAGAATAGATTACAGGAAAACAGCTTTGCATCCACCTAGGTCATAAAATGTCAATAGGCCCGAAAGCCAGAAGATAATGTACATGACTCTCACAAAGAAGTATGCAGAAAACACCCTGGTTTCGTGAAGGATAAGCTGATGTAATATTAAACTATCTTCCCCTTAAAAAATGTACTAACTTAGAATATAAAAGCTACGGTAAAAAATAAAGATTTGCCAGACTCTGCTGCACCCCCCGTCTGGTCACTCTCTCTCTCTCTCTCTTTCTTTCTGTCTCCCTCGCAGACTTGGCCCTATCAAGGCTGGTCTCACGTGTCTTCTCTCACCGATGCCGTTCATCCTGAGGGTACTCCCTAGATCCTGCCGAGGCTGGATGGCCCCCCTGCATAAGATAGGTAGGGTGAGGAAGGTGGGTAGGTTTAAGGTTCCTTCTTTTCTAAGATTAAGATCCTCTCCTTTTTCTTCTTCTAGTTAGTAACAAAAATGGGTAACAGTGAGTTAAAGGAAAGACAGCTTTTTATTGGGGTTATATTGCAGCTGTTAAATAAAAGAAGTACTAAAGTAAAAAAGGCTAGTGTTGCAGGAAGGGGACCTCTTCCAGGGCCCGAAGCTGGGCTCTTGTCTAACACTCGGAAAATTCATGTCAGACACATGCTGACAAAGCAAGAGATTTTATTGGGAAAGGGCACCCGGGTGGAGAGCAGGAGGGTG